TCTGTTCACACATTAAACAAAGAAAGTTTCTGACATTGTTCATGTTAGGATGAAGCTAGTTTTTAGATGAAGCAGAGAAGTTTTAAAACGAATCCAGCATCGTAAATGATGCTGACAAAACACCTCATAGTTTATGCTATGATGCATAGATTTTAGTGCGCATGCACATCACTCACGAAAAAGTCTGAGTGGATATCTGTACGCGACTGAACACTTGTGCAAAGGGTATCGCAGCTCACTCCATGGAATAAATCATTTTGAAGGGGCAACGACATAAAAGTTCAAGCTTGAGACATGCCGTTCGTTGGATTGCTGGATATTCTTAAGTATTTCTGATCAAATTTGAGTGGCGACTGTCACCTGGACCTCTCAGCACCAACAACATCGACAATACTGTGACGTGTGTGGCGTTATTACTCAATTATCAATAACGATGCAATAGAAGCAATTAGTTTGATCATTTGAGTGCTGTTAATTGAGCACCAACAGCTTGAAAAGCTTTCATTCTTCCTGCCTCCTTTTTTTCAAGCCAGCTTGAATTATTTATTAGAATTTAAAGACGCAAATGAGCAAAAAAGGCGGAGAGAAGGAAAGAGCATTATAGAACGTATGATTGCTTATTCATGCTCTCCCCACTCACGACAAGGAAACACGCGCCTGTCACCTACCTCTGCATTATGAACATAAATATACCCCTTCTTTCTGCATTAGCGCCAGAGTAGCCGTACTGACACATTATTTGCCCATGCGAATGATTTTCGCTGCCTGAATGATATTGATGATTTCCTCCGCATGAGTATATAGTGGTACTGCAAAGCTTTTTCCTGTATCTTACTTTCTGGTTTTCTTGCTACTTTGTTTGCGTTCTTTTGTGGGGGCTTGTATGAATCACTTACGCGTAATAGTTACCACAAGGTCATGTTCAGCATTCTGCCAGTGATGTGAAATTTGTATAGTAATAAAGTACTATACACAAGCATAAGTATAAAAAGATCAGTTTCCCACCCAGTAAAACAAGTTCAATGTTTGCGCTTGTGTTTGGGCCTTTGTGTCCACTTCTTCAAAGCTGTGCACTACAAGGTAGCAGCGTAGAGTCAAACGCTGCTGATATACACCGACCACCAGAAATTATGATACGGGAATCATCGCACCGTAGCGTGCACTCGTTGCAATAAAACTTACATCTCTCCTATGAGACCAGAGCCGACATTACCTCGGACAACTTGCCACCTTACGGTGCCAAGAACTGTCCTCGTTATGTCTGGTAAGCCCAAATTTTGTGCAAAACGAAGACATAGAAGTCAACACCCAGCCACTCGTAACTCCAAGCTAGTAGGAAATCTGAATGGATTTTTCAGGAACAAAGCTCCTTGGCGGCCGAAAAACTAATCCATGTCCGGGCGTTGAAGCTACGAGCACCGCCTCTGTGAAGTGGTCTTCTAACAGATAGAGTGAGGGCGAATTAAAAGGGGGTGGTACGATAAACAGCTTATCCTGGTTTCAGCTTCATATCTCTAGAACTGTGACACCTCCTGCAAAATTTAGCGGGCTCAATAAGACAGCTAGTGGCCTTCAGTGTGCTCAATTTGGACCCAGTAATATATTTACCTGAGTTGGTGGACCACCAAAGTTAACACTTTCGCAGAAAATTGGATGTATCTTATCTCAAAAACTTAGAGTGTATGACCATGCATTTGGCACACATATTTGACCTAATATTTACAATAATCGATATCTTTATTGAATGACTAATGTTTATCTCGAATATAAAAAAAAGATTTTGCTAATTTTCTACGTGCCATGAGAAAGAGTCAGCCCTTAAATTTTTCTTTAATTGTAATTTGAACAAATATGCCCAGCCTTTGTTTCACGCAATTTGGAAGTGACTTGGGTAAATTCTGGGAAAAATTACCCGTGACCAGTGAGATAGCTTTCTAGAAGAGTTACATCAAGTTTAAAAAATATGCAATAAAATGTTCGTGAAATAAACGCGCCTGCATACGCAATGAACATACTCATAACAAACCGCCAGAAATGCATTTTGGTACGGAAACTTGCGATCAAAAGGTACGAAAAGCTTGGAAGTTACTATATAGAACCAATCTAGCAATGATTATTAAAAATTATATGGGAAGAAACAACAATGAAAGAAAATCTCCGGTACGTCTCACAAGGCGTGGTGTATGGCGCCATTTTTAAAGCACTTTTAACTCTCCAACGTGCCCGCCAATGAATGGTATCGCTCCTCACATTGTGTATTAATATTTACAACGACACTGTTTTTTAAATGCTTCTTTTTGGCTGGTGTACCGTACCACACTCTCTTAAGCCATTACTGGAAGCGCACAGAAAAATGACATCGCAAACCGACTTTGCGGACAACTGAATGTTGATGGAAATAATAACCGCGAAAAATACACGTCCACCTGTTTGTAAAAGAAATACGAAATGACATCCTCACGAATCTGCCAGAAAGAAGGTTCTTAATTGGCGGTTATAACGAAGAAAAAAAAACTCTATAGAGCTGACCGAAGAGAAAGGTGTATGAAATCAATAGTGTATCCAAAAGCCTTCTTACTTTCACTTTTTTTTTCACAGAAGCACGAAGGAGTTTCTTAAACGGGAAAAATATTCCCGCATCAAAACACGTATCGGTTGGCCCTCTGTCGTCATTTTCTGGTAACGCCCTCGGAACGTGCTCGCCTCGGCCTTGAAGAAATCGCCACACTGTTTATTTTATTTGTCTTTTGCTTCTTCGGAGCGCCCTAGAATGGACATAAAATGTCGGTGAAGCGAGAAAGTTTAGTGCAAGGCCATCTACGTATCGGAAGCGCGTGCTAGAAATTAGCAAGCCGTACTACAGTAACATATCTAACAAGAGTCTTCTTTCTGTGAGAATAATCAGCTCACCCAAAAGCAATCAAAGGTACGACACGCACGTTTCGTTTCATCTTGGTAGTACAGTTAATACCCTTGGAATAGTTAGTTTTGTATGAAGAATAGGCAGCAGCTCTGAAAAAATTGATTTTTTAATTTACCACTATGTTACAGCTGATAGAATAGTCCACAGTTCGCAAAATTGTTGGGGTTAGGAAATCTGTTAATGATACTGCTTAACCAAATGGCTGAATAGCATCGGACGCATTATTTGAAGGTCGCAGGATTGGTTCCTGCCCACGGCAAGTTATCGATTCGTCCACTTTTTATTTTTCAAGTTTTTGTTGCAATTACTTCTAATACCGCTCCGTATACTTTCTTTGGTAGTAATGTAAGTTAGTTCTTATTATATTGTGCCTAAAAAGGAAACCAGCCCTTCATTAGGTAGTATATTCTTAACTTTGGGCAAAATATCTAATCATAGACACGGTTGCTTATAGGCGTCCTGTAGAATCTTGAAAACGCGAGTTCCTTCACAAATATTCGTCTTTTAAGTAAATGTGGTAAAACGAAATAAATGAGGCTATTACCTTTTTATTTGCACAGTACAGGCACAGTGCAACAATCAAAGTAGTGCTCTACCCATTAAGGAGTGTATCATGCAGTCAATTGCAAAATATTCAGATTTTTTTTTTTTGCCTCGTTTCAGTCAACCATGGATGGGAAACTTGCCCTTGGACTATTGATCGTCGCAGTGATGACAGCTCGCATTTCTGGCAATTCAAACTTTTCTCAAAACTACAAATTAAGTCTGAATGACGTCTTTCCCTTAAGAGAATTGTTTTCATAGAGTAGCTATAGTTGTTTGATCGAAGATATTTGCGATTCACCTTGGAAATTTCTCTTGCAGTTTATGCATGCGATGTACCATTCTAAGAAGAAATATTAGGTGCCTATGTTGGGAGTTGCGTTGGGCCATTAGGGTAAAACCCACGACCTGTTTTCAATATGACAGGTGGTTTAAATGTCCCATCAAACAATTTGTCATCAAAGCGGTGATTCAGTTTTTTTATTCGGAGACTATTGCTGATGTATGGGCCATTATATAAATACATAAATAAAAGCCATCAATTAGGTGCGAATCCATTATTTGCATATATTGAATTGATAAATAGTAGTATTTGGCCTTGTATACGTTCAAGTTCACTCTAAGGAACTGTTTTTATGAAAGTTATGTTGTGGTACCAACGATTTAGTTTTACGTGTTTTGTAACTAGTTTTGCTATATGCAACATAGAACCCTTAACTATCTGCACCGTATTTATCTCTAGGTTTCAAGTTCTTGTTATTTGTCAGCAGCATTGTTGGCAAACTAAAATATTACGTAAACTTGCGGTATTATCTAGTAGGCTGTGACTAGTATTGTTAATTATGAAGGCAAACGCCGGGCTAATTCCAAGGGCTGACGTATTAGTCGCCCGAACTACACCACAAAAGCACGGACAATATAAATGTGATCCTATTTGGTGCTCCAGCAGACGCTGGCTGTGGTACAAAGTACGAGTAAGAGCTGATAGTTGATAACAAGCAAGAATGTATTCTCAAATACACAGATCAAACAACACATAGGCATCTTTTAAATACCTCGCTTGAATACCCCACCTACTGAGTCGTTGATGCACCGTGCCTCAATTGCTACTGTACTGCCAGTATTGACTTATTAGGAGGCGCCGTTACCGCATTCAATCTGCCGGGAATGATTTTACTGTGCTTGAGGCTGCCCTGTGAAACGAATATATTAAAACGCTGAAACGGAGCTCGAGATGCTGATAGCCCTTTGGTGGCATAGCTGCTGGAAAATATTGTAAATGTATTCGCTTCAGTCTCCCGTGAAGTCATGATTGTCGTAGCAATTCACATGTTTTTCGTACTAAGTTCTGTTTAGCCCCACGGTTTTCATGACCCAAAGTCCCCCTTTTTTTACGTGCTTTTGTTACGAAACAGTCATCACTTTCGAAGCAACGCAACATACAGTCCCCATAACTTGCAGCTATGGTTACTTTGCGCATAGTTTTCTTCAAACAAACAGGTCAACCGTGTTCCCAATACCGCATGATTTATCCTTCAGGAGAGCCAACCTGCCCGGAAGTGATATGTCACGGACCGAACAACGTCGCATGCTTTATTGGCCCTTTTCAATGCAAATGCAGTTGTGGTAAGCTGAAACTCGCATCGATAATTCTTTTCTTTTCATAGTACTTTACAATGTTCGGTCTGAACACGCCTTGTCCAGAATCCGCATCCATGCTTTATAGATTGCAAATGTCAAATGATTGTCGTGTTTACTCAATTTTTTTTTCATTTTGATGCCAGTGGAGGAAGCAACCCCCTGTGGATTCCTGCAGCTGCGTCCATGTCGACAGGGTCATTCCGTCAAGTGTCAAAGATCTGACAACACGTGCATATGCAAGTGCGTGGAAGACTGAAATGATTGAAGTGCGTCAAACAATTGTTCAATAAAAGGTGCTATATTAGGAGCAACAGAAAACCAGTTGTTGTGTGGCATATTCTTCTGTCCCATTGCGTAACCATGAGTTGTCAATCGTCGCATAAGTTACTCATCGAACCAATAAGGAATAACCGAAAATATTGCCAGAGAAGGTATAGGGCATGCTAATAGAAGTAATTGTAATATAAATGTGAAAAAAATAAGTGAAAAGAGAACTTTCCACCGGGAGGATCCAAATCTTCGAGCTTCATTATTCGGATGGTTCCGGTGGCTAGATAGTTTTTCGTCTACTTTTTCCACATTTAGTTTTTATTTACTTCTAAAAACATCCTCTATACCTTCCCTAGCAATATTGTTTGATATTTCTCATTCTTATTGGGTCCAACAAAAAAACGAGCCATTAAATTTACATTTTCTTTTATTCATTGAAGAAATGTCACAAATAAATTGCAGGTTATATCACCCCGCAATAAATTGTATCCCTAGCTCTTCGCAATCTAGAGACGTGACAACTTCCTGGGCGTGCGGTGAACCGCCGCAACTTGAGTGGCAGCGTTATGTCGGATTATCAGCTACCTTCGCGCCAGGGTTGTCAATGATGTGCTTGGTAATCTCATAATATGGCCACAGCCACTATAATTTCTCGAAGACCTCAATGCACTTCGTAAGGCTTAGCTCACAGCTGAAGAATGATGTTCAGACAGCTGGTGTCGACGCTTACATTAAATATGACCAGAATGCCAGACATCAGCGCGAAATATTTTCCAACAATTAATTGGGATTTACGACACAAACCCACAATAGTTTTGTGAGAAATTCCGCAATGACGTTTTCGGAACTCCGACAGCCTGGTGTTGTTTAAGGCGCGCCGAAAGCGCAGCGCACACAGGCTTCTCCTATTTCTCCTCCACCAAAAAGGGGCTGTGGCCGCTGGTATTGAAACCACAACCATCAGGTCAGCAGCCTTACACTAATATGAGCTTCAGTAATAATATATACTATTGCATTTGGTATTGTTATTTGGCTCTTTGACTACGATTGGTCCTTGCGCAATATATCATCATCATTATTATTACTATTGTCATTATTGTTACATTATTAGCCCTCATTTCTGAAGACCTAGGCAACTATTTAATTTGAGGGTATGTAACATATTTCTATACTGTTATTCAATCAGTCCTAACACATTATATTTTCTTTGGGTGGTCAGCAATACAACGTTGACAATACCAGCTTTCTTACTGGGCACAATGTGCAAGGACACTGCCCTGCACCACTATATTTTTAGAAGTTGTTGCAAATTTACATTACTGCTGCCACGCCTGACGCAAGCGTGTAACTGAGTAATCTTCCTTCTGTTTCTTTATTTTAATTTAAAGCAATGACATTAGAGCTCATGTCAGTGTCAGCCTCAGCTTTGGGGGCGATCATTATCAAAGAAAATAAAAAGACTATAGAAGAAGATGGAAAGAACACAGATATTAAAATGTGACTGATCCCTCTTTCCAGGTTGCGGTAAAACACGAAAGTGAAACGTGTCTTCACAGTCATCATCATCATCATCATCCTGGCTACGTCCACTGCAGGACGTAGACACTTCTCCCATGTTCCACCAGTTAAGACGGTCCTGTGCTTGCTGCTGCCAATTTATACCTGCAAGCTTCTTAATCTCATCTGCCCACCTAACTTTCCGTCTCCCCCTAACCCGCTTGCCTTCTCTGGGAATCCAGTTAGTTACCATTAATGACCAACGGTTATCCTGTCTACGTGCTACATGCATGTCTTCACAGTAGTTGAGCGTTTATTGAGCATTGTTGCGTTACAATTCTGAAGGAATGAAAGCTACATCAACAAAATTCAAGGTGGCCCGAAGAACGGCAAGCAGTGGCAGCTCGAAACTTGCAGCATGCACTTCAAGCAGAAAGCACACACGAATTGAGAATATCCAGGATGAGCGTGGATTAACAACTGTCGCTCGCAGCTAGACTCTAAACTTTTTCATAGACAGAACTTTATTTTGGTCTGGATGCAGTGCTTTATTGAAAAAAAAGGGCTAAATCTTTTGCAGAAATTGATTTTCTTGCAAGACACAAAAGAAGTGGCTGTCTTAGATTAAAACGTATGAGGTTGTCACCTGAGGTGACCACCATCATGTAAGGGCCTACTGACCACTTTCGCTGAAGGTACAGCTCTTCATTTCTATAATTCTTAGCGTTAGCTATTCAGGCAGCATGCTTTCCTGCACAGTCGACGTAATAAGAACAGTACATGTTTTTACATCTAGAACCATCTCGGGTCAACTGCGTAGCGCACCTTGAGGACGACGGCAGCCGGAAGAAAATAAACGTAACATGTCACGTTGAAGCCCAAATAATGTAGAGGCATCTCTGTCAGATTTCCGAAAGCTTTGAAATATGTGCCATTAAAAATCCGACGCTCAAGTGTTTCAAGAGGAAAAAAATGAACAAGTGGTTACGTGGGGAGATCACCGGGCTGGAAAGAGTTAAAGCGCACTGTGTAACCAGAAAGAAAGGCGAAAGTCGCACGAAGCGAACACACAGGTATACACAGGACAAGTGCGAACAACTGTCAGAACTCTTACTTCTTCGTTGTGAGCAGCGTACTCTTTTCTTAAGCGCAGCCATGGAAGTGAACAAAGTGACATTCGCACTCTCGCAAACCAAGAGTCTGATAATCGCGTGCGGAACGCAGACCGTGCTTCATGGGGGCGCCACTCTCCCAAATGCGAGAGGCGACCGCCTTTAGAGCGGCCATACACCAGAGAGCCTACAACAGTCATATAGGCTTCCTACCCTACGCGCACTCTTCGCGCCATCTAGCTACTGATGATGAGAAAGCGCTGAAGCAGCGGAGCTCTGAGAACCACCAGTTGGTATATGGTGTAAAAAATGGCTTGTCGTTAGCGCTATTGAATGCATGCGCACTGAGGCGTAGTGGTTAGCACCACTTGCAAAGGTGTCAACGATTTCTGGTTTCACGCCCAGTGGCAAAGCCCTTGCGTATCGTTTTGTTTTTATTTGCAATCTGTTATTATACATTTCACAATGTAATATTCGTGACTGAAATACAGCCGTGCAGCCTTGGCAGACCCCGGCATAAAATGTGCTAAAAATATTCGAATCTAGTGATAATCGAACTAAGACTATCTGCGTGACAAACCGGCGTTTTCTTACGTAGTCGTCATTCTTCAGATAACACACTTCTGAAGCACCCATGCCTTGAAAAAAAAATACTATGTCATGTTGTGGGTGGGTCTCCTTAACGTTTGTGAATATTGTGAGGCTGAAAGGCAGAATATGGCCAGGTGTTAAAACAAGTGAATAACGCAACGAATTTGTGCCTAAAAGCTCGACCCATCACGATGCGCTCATACGTATTTATTAATCATCATTATCATCAAGATCATCATCATCATCAACATCATCATCAGAAAAAGCATCCACAAAGAGGGCAGTTGCATAGTTTCATATGCTGCCTTGTGGACGTCCAGCAATCCCTTCGCAGATTCACAAAACGAAGAAACAAACGAAGCTTCACGTGAACTCGGCGTGCTAATTTATTTTAAAGCAGCTGATGTTGCGAGCACAATTGTTTTTCTTTACTCGTTGAATAGTTGAGGTATCTACCGAGAATCGAACTCAAGTTAGAAATTTATTTTGAATAGGGTGCCTTTTTAGGGAGTTGAAAGCAATTTTACGATTTCTATCTATCTATCTATCTATCTATCTATCTATCTATCTATCTATCTATCTATCTATCTATCTATCTATCTATCTATCTATCTATCTATCTATCTATCTATCTATCTATCTATCTATCTATCTATCTATCTATCTATCTATCTATCTATCTATCTATCTATCTATCTATCTATCTATCTATCTATCTATCTATCTATTTAGGCCTAAGTTAGTACGGCAGAGTATGAGGGATTGACAAATATATCTCGTTGGTCATACATGAATAATGTCAAAATGCTATCACATACGTCGTCAAGCCTCTTACGGCAGACGTGTAGTACATATTCATGGGCCGGTATCAATTTTGGCTGTTTATTGTATGCCTATGACGTGCATTGTACATATATTTAGCACCGCTTTGTAACGTTTCACTCAGTAAAGCAATTACAACACAGTCACCCTAAATACTCATGCTGCACAACACCAATTCCAAAGGTACGCGGGATCTGCCGAATTTCCTAGTTAAAGAAATACACCTGACACTTACACTCTTGATGTTGCGGCTCAGCCTTGCGTAATATATGATTTTTGATTGACATTGCTGCCTCCACTTATATATGACTGGGCGGTGAGTGAAGGACTGAACTTTTGCCGAGTGGTTGAATTACGTGATGGACAGACAAGCAAACACCGACAAACAGAGCATTATTTCTGCGTTAAAATATCGCAATAAATAATATTACCTTTAAAGATTTCTGAGATCTCACGTACCATGGTCATCAATGTTTTGTGAAGCACGCGGAGGTAAACTAACCATGGTATGATTTTCTGATCGTGTGAAACGTTACGAAGTGATGTTCGAAATATGTACAAATTTTGTGCGCGCAGTTATGTTGAGCAGACTTGTACGTTTTAAACTATAGCCAGTTGCTTACACTCGAGTTACGATGCGAACAGCATCATGCATGTTACCAACAGTAGAAGTGGCAAGTTGAAATATTGCGTTTGTGTTTGCGAGGATAGTTGCTCTAGGTAGTTCAACGTAGACCAACTTAAGGGGGTGCTCAAGGGTGGAATGGACGTTACTCGGCGTAAAACATGTATTGGTGGAGTACGTGTGTAATATCAGTATATTTGGATAGCCAGCACTTCAACCAGAAAAACTTACGTTGCACGGATTTTACGCCTGTACTAGGCTTTCTTCAAAAACTGCTTAGATACCTGGCGTATCTCTGTGGTAGAACACCTAATTTCCATCCAGAAGTTTTCGGTACAATTCCTGCTTCCTGATATTTAGTCTTTCGACTCATAGGATGAACGCCGCCGATGCGAGTTCTCCTA